TTCCTTTTTCCCGAAAGCTTCAGCGAAGGGTTCTTCGGAAAAAAAACGTCAACCTACGATCCCCACACTACAATCACCACACTCCAATCACCACACTACCATCACACTACGGCAGCTCCGGGCGTCCGCGACGTACTACGTTTGTACTACAAAATTCGACTTTCCAGGAGAGGAAGAAGAAAAGAAGAGCAGAGGAAGAGGAGAGGAAGAAGAGGAAGAGCACAGGAAGAGCAGAGGAAGAAGAGAGGAAGAGGAGAGGAAGACGAAAAGAAGAGGAGAGGAAGAGGAAAAGAAAAGGAAAAGAAGAGCAGAGGAAGAGGAGAGGAAGAGGAGAGGAAGAGGAAAGGAAGAAGAAAGGAAGAGGAAAAGAAGAGGAGAGGAAGAGCAGAGGAAGAGCAGAGGAAGAGGAGAGGAAGAGGAGAGGAAGAGGAGAGGAAGAGGAGAGGAAGAGAAAAAGAAGAGGAGAGGAAGAGGAAAAGAAGAGGAGAGGAAGAGGAGAGGAAGAGGAGAGGAAGAGGAAAAGGAGAGGAAGAGGAGAGGAAGAGGAGAGGAAGAGGAGAGGAAGAGGAGAGGAAGAAGAGAGGAAGAGGAAAAGAAGAGGAGAGGAAGAGGAGAGGAAGAGGAAAAGAAGAGCAGAGGAAGAGGAGAGGAAGAGGAGAGGAAGAGGTGAGGAAGGCTCCGACACGCACGATCCCCGCAGAGGGTGCACGACCACGCTTGAAAATACGCAAAAACGCACAGCGGGAGCGCTCCGACACGCACGATCCCCGCAGAGGGTGTGCGAAGCAAGTTGAAAAATGCGCAAAAACGCACAGCGGGAGCGCTCCGACACGCACGATCCCCGCAGAGGGTGTGCGAAGCAAGTTGTACAATGCGCAAAAACGCACAGCGGGAGCGCTCCGACACGCACGATCCCCGCAGAGGGTGCGCGGGCGCAAATCCATATGCGCAAAAACGCACAGCGGGAGCGCTCCGACACGCACGATCCCCACAGAGGGTGCGCGGGCGCAAATCCACATGCGCAAAAACACACAGCGGGAGCGCTCCGACACGCACGATCCTCGCAGAGGGTGCGCGGGCGCACATCGAAATGCGCAAAAACGCACAGCGGGAGCGCTCCGACACGCACGATCCCCGCAGAGGGCAAAAACGCACAGCGGGAGCGCTCCGACACGCACGATCCCCGCAGAGGGGTGCATCGCGCTAGCCGCGGCGAAACCCACCCCAGCCTAAGAAATAAGAGAGAATTTAATGGCGGAAGTGATGTGATGGTACTGTGGTGATGGTAGTGTGGAGATTGGAGTGTGGTGATTGTAGTGTGGTGGTGGTACAAACGTAGTACGCCGCGGACGCCCGGAGCTGCCGTGGCTCTGGAAAGTCGACTTTTTGTAGTACAAACGTAGCACGCCGCGGACGCCCGGAGCTGCCGTGGCTGGAAAGTCGACTTTTTGTAGTACAAACGTAGTACGTCGCGGACGCCCGGAGCTGCCGTGGCTGGAAAGTCGACTTTTGTAGTACAAACGTAGTACGCCGCGGACGCCCGGAGCTGCCGTGGCGCGAAAGTCGACTTTTTGTAGTGCAAACGTAGTACGCCGCGGACGCCCGGAGCTGCCGTGGCTGGAAAGTCGACTTTTGTAGCACAAACGTAGTACGCCGTGGGACTCGAACTCCGCGGTGTCGAAACCCTCGCAAATATCGTGGGACTCGAATTCCGGGATGTCGAAACCATCGCAAATATCGTGGGACTCGAATTCCGCGGTGTCGAAACTCTCGCAAATAGCATGGAAGCGGAATTCCGTACTGTCGAAACCATCGCAAATATCGTGGGACTCGAATTCCGTGGTGTCGAAACCCTCGCAAATAGCATGGAAGCGGAACTGTCGAAACCATCGCAAATATCATGGGACTCCAACTCCGCGGTGTCGAAACCATCGCAAATATCGTGGGACTCGAATTCCGCGGTGTCGAAACCCCTTCAAAGACGTCGCAAATACCGTGGGCGCGGAACTCTGGGGCTTCAAAGACGTCGCAAATACCGTGGGCGCGGAACTCTGGGGCTTCAAAGACGTCGCAAATACCGTGGGCGCGGAACTCTGGGGCTTCAAAGACGTCGCAAATACCGTGGGCGCGGAACTCTGTTGCTTCGAAAACGTCGCAAATACCGTGGGCGCGGAACATGGGGCTTCGAAAACGTCGCAAATACCGTGGGGGCGGAACTCTGTTGCTTCGAAAACGTCGCAAATACCGTGGGCGCGGAACATGGGGCTTCGAGAACGTCGCAAATATCGTGGGCGCGGAACTCTGGGGCTTTGAAAACCTCGCAAATACCGTGGGGGCGGAACTCTGTTGCTTCGAAAACGTCGCAAATACCGTGGGCGCGGAACTCTGGGACTTTGAAAACCTCGCAAATATCGTGGGCGCGGAACTCTGGCGCTTCGAAAACGTCGCATATACCGTGGGCGCGGAACTCTGGGGCTTCGAAAACGTCGCAGCAAATAGCACGACGACACCACACTACCGTCGCAACATTACCATCACCACATTATCATCACCCCATTACCATCACCGCACTACCATCGCCTCAGCTACACACCGCTTCTCTACGCTGCCTGTTACATTCCATCTTCTTTGCGTTTCGCGTTCTTTTCGCCGTCGACGCCACACCTGCTTCCTATCCTACTACACCACACCACGATCACCGCACTGACAACACAACCAACTATACGTGTCAGTTGATATCTTTGCACTGATGGCTTTCGGGATAATCGGTGTCCAGTTTGAATGAAAATAGAAGAAGAAAGAAAAAAGATAGAGAAATAAATTGAAAAGTTCCATTATCCATTATTCACTTTTCTCTCTTTCAATATATTATTTTGCTTCTCATTTCAGAAGAAAAAACAAGTAGAAGGGAGCTTCCTGAACAAAAGTACCGATCTATGAAAAACAAGAATAATCTTTTCTTTTTGAATTATAGAAAGAAGAAAGAGAAATAAAGAAGGGAGAGATGATAAAAAAAAGAAGAGAATATCATCCTCTTTGCGCCTTGTTGTGTTCCTCCATCTCCTTATTTCTTATTTCCTCTCTTCTATTCAATACCCTTCCAGCAAATTAAAATGGATCCTTATTATCTCTCTCCTCTTTTATTACCTTTCCCTTCTTTCCCTCCTTCTATTTCCTTTTAGCTGATAAAATGCAACAAAAAAATTTGTGTGATAAAATGATGGAAGAAAAAACAGAGAGTGATCACTTAGTACTTCATCATATCATTCTCCTCAGATTATCTCTTGTGTTTTTTTTTTCTTTAACTCTTTTCCTTTTCACAATTCTTCTTCTTTAAGTAGTCTTATTTTTAAAAGAAAGAGGGAAAGGAGAATCAAGGAAGATAAGATGAAAAAAGAAGAGTATCATGTTCTCAACGTCTTGTTTGTCCATCCCTCTTCTGTTTTCATCCCTCTTCTATTCTTTTCTTTGCGATTCCATTGAAATTGGATTCCTGTTATCTCTCCTCTCTCCTTCTTTTTCCCTCCTCTTCTCCTATTCCCCTCTAAATGACAAAAACATAAGTAACATAAGAAAGGAAGAACAAAAGGGGAACAAAAGCCCTAATGGTGTCTTCTCCTGTTACAATAAAGAAGGAAAAGAGCATAGGAGATAAGGAAAGGAATTGAAGAGTTCCTCTTACTACTTTCTCATGCCCTTTCCTTTCTATCTACCACACCAAAACACGACTCTCAGCTTCCAAATAAACCATATTTAAGCCGGCCACCTCCCTCCCTCTCCCATCGCCGCCCACCTGAATGCAAGCCAAAGCACGTTGACTCGTCCGCCTCTGAGTAAACATCCAGACAGCCTGGGCCCAGTAGACCAAGTTCCTTGATTACCTACTAACCACCCAGTAAGATGGAAGACGGACACGATGCCCAAATCAGCTGCAAGCCTCAGACAAACAGCCCTTTTTTCTTGACACAGCAATGGCCGACTGTCATGTTGCCTTCTCACCCATCGTTCCAAAACGTCGATTGAGAACGAGGGATTATTTGTTCATAGCTGGCACAGTGATCCACGGTGCTTTTGAGTCTATATCATGCGCCGTTTGGGGTTTAGGGTTTGGATCAGCTGAACAATGACGGCATGGAGAATTCCGAGGCTGCTGCTCGAAACTCCCCTGCGTTAGCAAGTATCGCCCGTGGACCATGCAACTGTCTAAGCCAAGCAGCCGCGCTTGACCAGACCAAGCTGTCTGGCAGCAGTCATATTGCACAGACTGGCGGGCTACTATGATTACAAAGATGTAGACGATATGTAACAGGGGAGCCGATCTCGGTGACGTGAGTTCAAGGCTTTCAGTCGTCTGTTTGACAGACTGTTGAGAAAGTCCACTCCATGGACTTTACGCCGTCAGGACTTTTACAAAGACACGGCGTTGCCAAGCCCGAAGGAAAGCTCCCACTTACGAAGAGCTTCCATGCCTGGGCAAGCAAGTGCAAAGAAAAACGGTTGTGAACCGAGATGAAAAAGCCATCGTCAACGTTTTCAACGGAGACTCGCCAGCACCTGTCTTAGGCTAGGCTATGGTCAAAGAGATATCGCAGGGCGCTATTGGTGCTCCTCTTCCCTCAGAAGGCGGGGGTCACCACTGGTATACCTGGCATATTGTTGAGGGTGTAAGGTTTAGGGTTGGATATTGTTGCCAGTACTTCCGAAATCATTGTCTTCCAACTCATCAGGTTCGAAAATACGCGCAAAGTGAAAATCATGTTTCGACAACCCAGGTACCCAGGTGAGATATGAAGGTGAATCTTCTCAAACACGAAAGTCATCGTCGGAGGCACCGGGCTGTGCCTGCTCATTTGCGTTGTTTTCCTTTTGCTTCTTGTCATACACCATAACCGCGAAGCATATCACCAGCGTCACTGCCACCCCAATGACAATCAGCACCACCAGCACAATTGTGAGGATTACCCATCCTTCTAGACCACCATCTTCAGCCCGCGAGTCACCCTGAAATTCAATGGTGCTCTCCTCTTCGGGGGCGGTGGTGGTGGCCCCTTCTGCTGTGCTGTTTCCCTCCTCGCTGGTCGTCAGGTTCACCATTTCGACGGTGGTCTGATTAGCGGTCTCCCCAGGAGCCGTTTCCTGTTGGGAGGTGGTGGTCTCCTCCACGCTGTTCTCCGTCGTGCTGCTCAGGTTGGAGGAGTTGCTGATTGTGAGGGTCGATGCGGCAGTCTCTGTGACGCTTGAAGCTGTCATTGAAGTGGAGCTGCTGGTGGTCGTTGAGGCGGAAGAGGATATGGTGCTGCTGATGGTAGAGGAGCTGCTCAATGTGCTTGTGAATGTAACTGTAGAAGAGGAAGTCTGTGTCAAACTAGTTTCCACTGTTGAAGTAGAGCTTCCTGTGGAGCTGCTGGTGGTCGTTGAGGCGGAAGAGGACATTGTGCTACTGATGGTGGAGGAGCTGCTCAATGTTCTTGTGAACGTAAATGTAGAAGAGGAAGAGGTGCTTGAGGTGGAAGAACCGCCTCCAGATCCTCCTGATGCAGTGGAAGGTCCGTTGCCCACGATGACGTATGGGCTTGTGATTGTTGTGAAGCTGGGTGTGAACCCCTGGGTGAATGGAACAAGGTCCGTCGACCCATCTCCAGTCATGTCAATCGGGGAGTAAAACCTCATGCTGATGCTATCGCTGTCTGTCAGCTTGAACCCGTCGGTGCCGCTCAGTGCCGTGAGGTCAAATGTGTCACCCGGACTCGCGCTGCCGAAGACGACGTACACGTTGGTACCTTCCCCAAGCGCGATGTCATCGTACTGGTCATCGTTGAACTTGCCGAGGTTCGGGGGTTTCACCAATGCCGGGTTGCTCAAGCCGGTGAAGGAAACACCCTCGCCACTTGCGAACGGCAGAGTCACACTGGCAGGAAAGGTTGTTTTGCCGAACAGCATGTACAGGCCGGTTTGGCTGCCACGCCCTGCAAACAGTATGTCCGCAATGCTGTCGCCGTTGAAGTCCGCTGCAGTGATGAAGTAGTCCGCAAAGTAGGTGTTTGCCGCCCCGCCACACAGCCGGAAGCCAGTAGAACCATCGACGTGTGAGTAGATGTCAGCGATGAGAGCGGGGTAGGTGCCTCCTCCGTACAACACGTAGAGGCAGCCAGCACCAAGGGATGGTTGGTCGCTTCTGCTGGAGGCCAGGATGTCGTCGATGCCGTCTCCGTTGATGTCTCCCACTGCCAGACCGCGCCCCAGCCTAGAGTTGGCTGCATCTGCGAGAGAGAAGCCGTTGGACCCGTCGAAGGTGGAGCCATCGACCGATGACAAGCTGCTCTTGCCGAAGAAAATGTTGACTTGGCCGCCGTTGTTGGTTCCAGCCGAGTTGACGGCGATGTCGTCGATGCCATCGTTGTTGATGTCGAAATTGGTGAGGATCTGGGGTGTGTAGCCTCCGAAGGAATTGGACCCAAATTTGGTTTGGCCAGTGTAGGTGAGCTCGATGCCGTCGGTGCCATCCCACGTCATGCTGGCGACGGTGTAGGAGGCGCTCCAGCCGCTGGCCTTGCCGAAGATGATCTTGACGGATCCGGAGGCCTGGTGGAAGAACAGCACGTCGTTGAAGCCATCGTTGTTCACCTTAGAGCTCTTGGCAGAAACATGTATCTTCACACTCGCGCACAAGTCATTCAGGCAGTTGGCAGCATTTGCCCTGGCATGTTCCGGACGCCTGGTGAGTCTAGTCTAGCAGCAGACTAGCGGAACCAGCAACATCTCAGCATCTGAAGAAGTTGGATTCAGATCCTGCACTCGAGCTCATGGCTGCCCGCAGCTAAACGTGGAATCTAGAGTCTCGAGAGTGCTCTTCATGACGCGAAGTGACATCTCCAGCAATGGTGCCCCAAATGTCGACATTGCTGCCGGTGACGATGCTGAAGCCATTGGAGCCGCTGAATGTGATGCTGTCGAGGTCCAGGTCGGCGGAGATGCCGCCGAAGTGAACGTTGAGCGTGCCAGCCGGGAGCTCGTAGGTGAAGTCGTTCACGCCATCGCCGTTGACATCACCGGAGCTCATGGTGCCAGGAAACTTAGCATCATCGTTGGAGGCCGTGGTGATGGCGTACACGTTGGCCGCTGCAACGCTGCCGTGATTCGCAAGCGCCCACGTGGCGGGATAGTCCGTGGCAGAGGCCAGCTCTGCCATCGCGACAGCCACAAGCGCGATCACGCTGACCGGAGCCATGGCGGAGCTCGCCCAAACCGAAACTTGCACGCCTCTGTTGCTCAAGTCACCGCATCTTCTGTCGTCACTATGACTCTTATCTTAGCTGCCGAGGTATCAACATCGGTATTGTTGTTGCAGCTAGGGCGTGCATGTCGGACTGGCTCTGGAACCCAAGACTTCAGTGGGCGAAGATTCGAGGCCGCACTTTCACAATTTAGAGGAATATTTGCAGCAATGTAAGAGATTTCGGGGAGGTCTTGGGTACAGTGCCGTGCCAAGACGACTAAGAACAGCAATCAGCACAGGCAACTAGCAGCTTACCGCACCAGGATCTAATGTACAACATCGAAGTTGAAGCGTAAATGAGTTGCAGCCCAGCCGCATGCTCGATGATTGCTGAAATTATCTTTGGTCTAGTCCACCCGATCACCTGGTGTGAACATGCAGGACACCCGCCAATAGCAAGCACAAATCTACAGCAGCGGCTTGAAATCAATCCTTTGCTTCACAGAGCTCTAAACTGATGAATGGTTTGGCATCCCTACGCACGCGTCAAGTAGCATGGGCTTTGCACGGAAATCAACAAGAGGTCGAACATCCGAGGCCGCTGCTTGCAGCTGAGCTTTCTTGTCATGGTCCGTCCTCATGACCTTGCGCAAATGTTCAGGGATAAGCCTCACCGATGCCCTCTCTCTCCCTGTACCTGTGAAGCACGTGGACAAATTCATCACAGAGTTCTCAAAAGGATTTGGGTTTTTCTAGATGCTCACATTTTGCCGTGAAAACTCCCTCCAAGCCAGAAAGGCCCAGCATGCCACAGCAAGTTAAAAACTTCACTGCTTGCTACGGGTGTACTGAAAGCCCCAAATCAACAAAGCAAGCGCGGCCGGTTCAGAGGATGGAGGGCTGTAAAACAGGAGAGTTTAGGCGTGTTATTCAGGCTTTTTGCGGGGCTGGTGTTTGGGGAGTTGTAATTTCCCTGTGTCAAACCGTAGGAGCGCATCGGGCTTTCCGCCTCGCTGCGGGCTTGGCTTTAGTGGTCAGTGCCTCAGGGTTCTCTAAATCATTTCAAGACATGGCATCAAGTCAAACCGCTTGAAACCAAACGGATCCAAGCACTAATTCCTTAACCCCAGGCACCAAGGTACCATGGTCACGCGGCCGATGGAGTTGAAGTCTAAACATCGTTTGTGTGCCTCAAGGCAACGCGTGCATCCCACAGCAAGCACGCATGTACATACAGCACAGCCCATGAAGATTATTTACCCTAGGTTGACAATAAAAAACATCATTCTTATACAGTCTTTCGTGCAAAAACCGAAGATCAGAATGTCAGACCAAACACCAAAAATCCCAGTACCACAACATAAATGCGCTCCAATAGTTTGCACTAATATACTTTAAGCCTATCTTACGCTGAGAAAAAGAACATTAATTCAAACGAGAATTCGAAGAATGGCACTCTACAAAAATAGCCTATCGCCTTATTATGATGATGAAAATATTCCATTGTCGAGAATTCTCTCACTCTGAAGACTTGGATACCTTCCGTGATGGGCAGGTCGAATCAGACTGCATTGCTCCTACCGGATGCGTGAGGCTCCGGTCGTGCATCAATAGAAAGTCTGAACATGAGAAATCTCTCGGCCTGCAGCACTACACTTGCTATCATGTTTTCTGCGAGAGCGTTCAAAGGTGTTTTTGTTGCAGCTGGCCTTTGGCCCTGCGCTCTCCAAGAGGAGCTTTGAGGAGCTTGAAAAATCCTCCGATTCTGAATTGCAGGCCTTGCCACAAGCATGCTGCGCTTCAAGTGAAATCTCTCAGGACTCACAATGATTTGGCAATACGTTGGGCGTTCTTGAGGACAGTTTTTGCCAACAAAATGCTGCACTTGTTAATGGTGCGAATAAAAGAAGGCAGCAGATGGATCTCCAGTTGCTTGGACATGGCGGCAGTGAGGATCCGGGCTTTGCTCGATCAGGAGAAGACTTCAGGTGAACATTCAGTTCGTGACTTCTCCAGCATTCTTAGGATTCTGAAGTTCTGAAGTATCAAACTCTTCTCAACGCAGAAGTCTTCTTGTTGCTAGCAACAACAAATTTGATATCGCTGTTGCTCAACAGTGCCCAGCAAGCTCGACATAATGCCTCAGGCACCTCTAAAAAAGAAGCCCTGATGAAAGACAGCTGCTGGCAGGACTGAGCAGCTAGCATGTCGGTGTTTGGAGTGAACGCGAACCCCACTCTAAACCCAAATCTTGAGTTGCCTGCGTATGTAAATTCTGTGAACCGTAGATGGCACATGTTAACAGAACTCTGTGAAAAGTCCGCTGGTCTCCCCTGCTCTCCCTAGAAGTGCAAAGCCGACAGGCACTGCTGGGCCAGGGTTTAGCGATGAATCCTGATGCCCTGCTCTCCCTGACCTCCCGAAAGACTCAAGTCTCTTCTGTTGTGCGGTCCTGTGTCTTATGGCTCTCAATGCTTCCAGCAGTTGAAGGGCTCCCCAGCCTTTTCGGCCAAGCTTCAAGAACAGGGGTCTAGCTGAGAGCTGATTGTTTCTGCTGCTGCAGCTAAGGATGTAGCAACCTTTGTCGGTCCGATAAAATACCTGTGAAAGCCCGTGGCTTCTCTGCGATTTGGAGCTCTCTCTGGGTTAGGCTTGTTTCGAAGGAATCCAAACTGTGGGGGTCCATTTTTCCAGGGATGGTGGAACTCAAAGCGCGTGAATTCGCCATGCGCTGCGGATCAACCGATGCGGACTCCGCTGAAGAGTCCTCGCAAATTCCTGCCCAGGCGCAGAACAGGGCAGGCGGAGGTCGAGAAGAATAGCTTCTTACGTGCGATGCGATTATTGAGCCTAAAACCCTTAAATTCGAAGGAAAAATAAACGCACTGTTGCTGCTGGACCCAGGGATGATGCCTGAGGCCTACATGCTGTAGGCTTATGGGCTCGAGGGGTTCAAAAGAGCAGGTGTCTTTTGATTGTGGTTGGCAGCGTGAATCTACCAGGTGTGTTCTTCAATCGCTCCTCTTTCATAGCCTTGTCTCTACTTCCTCATGTCCTGCCGAAAGCATGGTGTCCAGGACATGCACCTTTGAGCACAACCCCCGGGGCACTAGCGCCAATGCAAATTCGAACCCAACACCCCAACGCCCGCCCCCTTCTCGCGCAAAACCCCAAAACAACAAAAACTTCTGAACACCAAGTGGATGTAAAAACCGTCAACCCGGAGCGGCGAAGTTGTGACACCATGTGCTTCAGAATGGACATCTTTGCGGAATCTTGGAATTATTGAGAACTATGGAATTTGGCCTATCATTTCCTTGGCAGCTCATGGAGATGTCCGCACAACGACATCTTCTCCTCCTTCAACAGCCCCACAGAGGCTGTGCCCACGCTTCGTTCTTGCTTGGCAGTGCGCCTTTTGCTAGACCGCAGCGTCGTCAAACGCGCCAAAAAGGCAGTCTCGAGCAAGATGTACTTGCCATCCAGGTGCTGGAAGTCAGAACTCATCGGCTCAGGTTCCAATCTGCATATCTGACCGGTGAAAGCTATGGCTCACCCGAGGCTTTGGAGTCAGGCATTCGTGGGTGAAACCCCCACAACCATTAGCCAACTCAAATCCTCAGATGAGTCCTCAACAAACCTGCGTGCCCTTGCAACAAAGCACGCAGTATCTTACAGGGGACAATCTCGAGACACACTTGGGCTCCAGGCGTAAGGCTCTCTGACAGAATCTCGGGCTGCTTCGCTTCCTGGGCCCAGATCGGGTCCGTGCTCCGCGGGTGTGTTCGTGCTAGGGTAAGGGGTGATACAAGGCCGGTTCCAAAGGTATGAGAACGACCTACTTTCAATATGCATCCCTTCAGCATACTCTTCAGAAAACGAATAGAAATCGGTCACCCATGCATGCACCGGACTATTGTTTTGGCTGACGAGGTCCCCTCAAGTGCAAGATGTTGCCTTCTAAATCCCGCGCGTCGTTCACGGGTCTTGCAGCCTGTATGATGTCTTCGAAACTGAAAACAGCAAGGCAGGTACGGTTGTCAAGATTCGAGCTATGGAGCCTGCACGCAGCCGAACGGCATCGACACCAGACATCAATGGAGCTGGCTGCAAATCTTATTAGAAACGATCGTGCTCTGGGCAGATGTGCAATCGTTTATGTAGGCCACGCACATCCAAACGCAGTAGCTGGCACTTGTCAGGAACATAGAAGCTGCACGCATACTGTCAATCACAAAGCCACATGAATACATGTGAGGCTACTTGAGGCCACTTGGTGATCCAGAAGTCGCTCTCTCTCTCTCTCTCTCTCTCTCTGCACGCATGGCACCCCCCCGAAAGAGGAGGCTCTCTCTCTCTCTCTCTCTCTCTCGTTGTGAAAATTTTCTCGCTGTCTTCCGCTCTTCAAAGTCTGCACAATGACCAGCCGAAGCAAAAGGCAGCCCTCTACTGGGTGGATGAGACACTTGATCCGGAAACCTTCACCACAGAACACTTCAAGTGGTCCTGCAAATCTCAGCAGGTCAACTTTGAAATGGCAGGCAAGGCCAGCACCCTGATCATTACAAAATCATTTTTTGTCAAACACCCCAGCACTTCCACCGAACGCATGTCGAGGTCCCTGCCAAGGTTTCGAAGAGATGCGAAAAACGTGGGTCATCCTCGCCACGCTGCCATAGGTTCTGATGAGGGTTTGGTATGCGGGCCTTGGCATTACACAACGGGTGGGCGGGCGTGCAAAACCAAAGCAACTTCGCAGCATGATTGGGATTCAGGTTTTCGGGCGGCAGTCTGCAGGACTTTTCAACCCCGTAAGTTAATCAGTTTCTGGATCAGAATGTACAAGTCGAGGTTTCGGGAACTCAGGGGTCAAATGCAGCTTGGACTTGATGGGCCATGCCGTTCCATGCGTTGCAGAACAAAGTGAGCAAACCGCAAATCACAGCACCACCCCCAAACTAGAACCAGGCTCACAACGTGTCACAGCATGTCACAACACGCTCTGGACTGAA